CCCATCTCTTTGGGCCCCGCCACACCACTCTCGAAATGTGAAAAAGACAAAAATGTTGAGGGGGCATCTGGCCATAGTCTAGCGGAAAGTTCATTCTCGTTTTGCAACTTTCGAGAGTGGTGTGGCGATGCCCTTTTTTTTTTCTGTTTCTTTTTTTTTTTCCGCAGAACATTAGTGGAAGGGGGTGTCATCCAGCGGCCTAGCTTAGTTGGTAAGGCACACAAGTGGCATTCAGGAGGTCTTGGGTTCAATCCCCATTGGCCTCATGTACCTTCCTGGGCAAGCTTGGCGCCCGCCACCTAGAGATATGTCGTTGGTCCCCCCGAGTGGCATTGAGCAGAGACTAATCATGTTCATAGGGGGAGGGGACCGGAGGGGAGGCACAGTGACTGGTCCATCGAAGAAGCTTGGTCCTGATGCTACCGGCTGACCCCTGGCTGGTATCGCCCACCTGCTGTAGCAAGTGTCGCACTTGCTGGTGGGTGCAGCTCCCGCATGTTCCCTCATTGGAACCTTCAACAGAAAAATTTTCCAGAGTAAAATTACATTTTAAATTTCAAATTTTCATTCCATCTTAAAAAATGTCATTTCGATTTTAAAATTTCCCGCCTTACTTGAAAACTTTCCTTCCAAGAATGGGATATCCCTTCTTATTTGAACTGCATGCTAGAGATGGAATGAAAGTCTGGATGAGTTCATGAAATCTGTGTCGTCGCCCGTACGTACTCCCGTACGACTGTACGTACGGGACCCCTGCCGTGCGTACGGGATTCCGGTCGTCCGTACAGGGTCTGCGAAGGGGGGCTCGGGCGTGATTTTCGCGTGGTTGGGTGTCGGGTGGCCGTGGGAGTCGGGCTGAACAAAAAAAAAAAAAGATTTTTTTTTTTTGTGGTTGTGGGGGGGAAGGGGGGTTTAATAAATTTTTTGAGTGGTTTGGGGGGGGGGTTGGCCGAAGGTGGGCATCGGTGGGAGCCTCTTAGCTGTGAAAAAAAAATATATATATATTCGGGGTTGGGAGGGGCTCGTTTGGGGAATTAAATTCCAGGTGCAGTTGTTCACCACGGTAGGTTCGTTTTGGGGGATGGGGATGAGGGGGGAGGGA